AAATAAAGAGTTGCAGTAGTGGGTAATATTGCCTTGTACAGGCCAGGTTATTTTCTGCAAGTCCTTGGGGAGTAAGATATATTGTGGTGAATTGCCCCAGGCCACACTCATGCTGTGTTTTGATGTGGGCTGTAAATGTTTTGCATTTTTTTCCTACTAAGGTGTGTTTTGTGTGTTCGTTATCCTAACACATGTTAATTGCTCTGCTCTTCCAAATCTGCACTTGGCTAAAGTTTTCTTTATTTAGACTGAAATTAAGTTTTCAGACAAACCTGATGAGAAATGTATGTGTGGGGGATTGGGGAGGTGGGAGATGTTTTATTTAGGCAGGTATGTATTTTGATCTGCAGCCTGTTTTGTGGATAGATAAGCCTATTACGTGATTCATATTAACTGTGTGTTTCCTGCTGTACTGTGAAAGCACAGTTCATTACAAATATAATTTTTTAAATTGTAAGCTTTTATGAGCAGGACCGTTCTATTTTAGCAACATCAATCCTGCTTTTTTTTTTCACCAAGAAATTGAATGTACCTACCGTATTTGCCGGCGTATAAGACGACTTTTTTGCCCTGAAAAACATGCCTCCAAGTGGGGGGGTCGTCTTATACGCCGGGTGCACTTCAGTTGGGATAGATATAGCTGCCATAGTGGCCTCCCGATGCCCGCCCGCCCCCACCTCATTCTACATACCATCCAGTGCGGCCGCAGCGGGTCATCAGCGTGGCTGCGGCGAGCATCAGCAGCGATACAGGGGTGCCAGCCTTTTCTGCTCGGCGGGAAGCAGCGGCGCTCCGGCCCGCCCCTTGTCTATGCAGAGCTCACACATGCGCACTAGTGCCAATTACAGGGAGATGCAGGGACTGGCCGGAGGCGCTGCGGTTGCGTACAATGGTGACAATGACAGGTACTGTAGTGGCACTAATACTAATGGCACTCATGTGAAACCGGTAACAATAAATGCACACAGGGGTATACTGCGAATATAAATTAAGATGTTGAAATCAAATCTGATGTTCTTTTACGTTTTATTTGGTGTGTGGAAGGTGTGCGGAAGAGGGGGTAGTCTTATACGGCGAGTATATAGCAAACTCTATATTTTGAGTGGAAATGTTGGGGGTCGTCTTATACGCCCAGTCGTCTTATATGCCGGCAAATACGGTACTTGTTGTTGCTGTCCAAATAAATGTGGAATGTGTTTTTGATCAATAAACATTTGGACTATGTATTTTTTGGGGGGATTATTTCATGTTCTAGTTGAATGTACTAGCACCCCTAACACTTATTTTTGCTAGCTATATAATGTGCCCAAATCTTCCTTGTTAGAGTGCACTTATGCAAGTATGTCCAAACTAACAAACCAAAAGCCCCCTATTGCACCACAAGACCATGTTATGTACCAATGAATAGATCGTGTTCAATGTGCAGCTAGGTATTCTTTTTTTACAATCCTCTTAACAGTAATAAATTAGGCCCCCAATTTATGTTGACTTTGGGCCTTTTATCAGCAAATATATATTTGCCAATGTCATATACACAGTAGAGCTGCACATATATTCACCAATGTCATATACACAGTTGATCTGCAAACATATATTCGCTAATGTCATATATACAATAGAAGGTCATAATTTGAAAAGCATATTGATGCAGTTGTACAGCCCTGAACGCAGACAGTGAGCATTCAGGGCCACTTCCCCACGCCTTCACACCTGTCAGATTAACCTCCTTAGCGGTGTTCCCGAGTGTAGCTCGGGGTAAAATTTCTATACCAAAAGCGGTAACCCCGAGCTACACTCGGGCTTACCATGCGGCGCTGCTCTAGGGGTCCCTGTAGCACTTACCTTGTCCTTCGCTCCCGCGATGTGTCCCCTCCAGCGTCCCCGGCCATCTCCTCCGGCCGATGCCGGCATCCGACTTCTGTGTTCCGGTCCCTGTGACGTCGGGACGTACGGGCGCCGGAACCGGCGGGAAATTTGAATTTTTAAAAAAATTTCATTTTTGCTGTCATTGCTGTTTCAATGCATTTCACATACATTTTGTACCTACTGCTTTGTCCTGTGCCCTGCCTGCATTTTGAATGTTCTTTCTGCCTGGAAACTTAGAAAAGTCCATGGCGTCCAAAAAGCGTCCCTTTACGTCAAAAGCGGTTTTAGAACAGCGATAGTAAATCAGAACCACTTGCAGAATTGAGTGATAATGATTTGTGGGGAAACTCGTCATCAGACACTGAAAACAATTTTGCGACTTTGCTCAGCGATGTGCAAATTTGCCTCTGTATTTCAAATTTCAGTGTTTTTGGTTTGATTATATTATTGAATTAAATTTATTATTATTATTATTATTATTATTTTTTATGATTATTTATTAAATTATAATTTATGATTTCGTGTTTCAAATTTTATCATATCCGGAATGTTTAATAGACTCTTGTTCAGACAGATTTCAGTGAGTTATTCCTAAAAATTACAGCCTACAATAAAAAAACTACATATTTCCATGCAAAAAAATGGTACCGCTTTTAGCACAAAAAAATCGGAAAGAATCATACCGCCGAGGAGGTTAAAACCTGTGTTCATACAGCTGCTGTGTCCCTATAGTGTGACAGGTGTTTCCAGCCACATGACCAACCCCCTCATTCATGTTGTATAGGCCAGAGGACTTGTGTGAATGGGGCATTTTTTACTTTTTTTTCCTCAGCTCATTAATTTCAATGGGCTGCCTAACGTGTGGGAACATGCAAAAATACTGCAAGCATATTATTGTAAAAGTGTGTTGCTTCAGGGGAACACCAATAGGACATGTTGGTACACAAAACGCATTGGGTGGAGCCCTATTGCTGACGCCACGCCACCGCCATTGAGGAGCGTCCACCATCTTGATACTCACTTTGCTGTTATTTTTATTACTCCATGTGGATATTTTAAATTGTTACTTGTGACCATTATAATAAAGTACTACACTATTAAGCACCTTTCTGGCTCCTGTGGCTGAGCTAATTCCTCCCCAGGACCATTTTGACACCCATCCTGATGGATGGAGCTGGATGACTAACCCATAGCTGCCAGCATACCGCTGCACCCCCAGATGTGTAATGTGTATAACCCAAGCACATTAATACTTTTGTTCTGGTGAGTGTACACCCGTCCCAAGGGTGGATTACCTTTCACGAGTTCATGCACTACTGTTCGTCATGGATAAACCACACGTTCCATTCATAGGCACTCTCTGAGTTGGTACTCTCACACGAAGGACATTCCATTATTCAGGAATGATTATATGAACTTTTTTTAGCACCATTTACCAGTTTACATCATTTTGTTGATCATTGCACTTTGTTGACTTTACATGATTGTTAACATGCATTTATAGCGCTGCACTATTACTTTAATATATTACTTTAACATTATTCATGAATGATTATATGAACTTTTTTTTTTTAGCACCATTTACCAGTTTACATCATTATTGCACTTATTTGTACTTTTTTGATTTTACATGCGTTTATGATTGATCACATGCATTTATAGCACTGCACTATTACTTTAACATAGAATAGTTACATGATTAAAGAGAAGGAAGATATATCTGTCAGGGCTCCGGGTATGACCAGAGGTATGTGAACTGACGCAGGGAAACGCAGGCTTCAGGTATGTTATAAATGATATAATTTATTAATACTAACAATACATAAACGCAGTGCAATACTAAAACATAACACAGTGCAAATAAACCAAACTAAACCACCCACAGATAACAATACATACAATGCAAGCGTCGTCAGGCAGGCCGGGTCAATAACAATCGGGCAGGTAGGAACAGGAGGAGCAGGCAGAGAGTAGTCAGGTCACCAGCCGGGTACAGCAAATAACGGACAGGTAGGTACAGGGGGTCAGGCAGAGAATGGTCGGGGTCACAAGCCAGGGATCAAACAGGAGAAGTCAGCAGAGGTCAGGATCAGGCAGGGTCAGCAACGAGTCAGTCAGGCAGGAACAGGAATGCAGGTAACAAGATACAGGGGCCCATAGAAAAACACACACCAAGGCACAGACTGCAGGTCTGGCCATCCCTTAAATACACCTCCGTAATCAGCTTCAGGTGTTTGGCTGACTACAGGGTTGAGTCTGATTGCTGAGAGCACCCGCTGGCCAGCCCTGGTACTGCAGCCCACAAGGCAGGTGAGTCCCACCATTACTGGCAAGTCCATTCCTGACAGTACCCCCCCCCCCTCAAGGAGCAGCCTCAGGACGCTCCAAACAGTCCTAGCTGGGCAAAATGTTTTACCGCCCGGGTCTGGTAACTGGCGGGATATCAAAGACTGGCATATCGGGCTGGACTCTGGGCAGAGGCAGAGGCATCGGGCTGGACTCTGGGCAGAGGCACATCGGGCTGGACTCCGGGCAGAGGCACATCGGGCTGGACTCCGGGCAGAGGCACATCGGGCTGGACTCCGGGCAGAGGCACATCGGGGGCTGGACTCCGGGCAGAGGCACATCGGGCTGGACTCCGGGCAGAGGCACATCGGGCTGGACTCCGGGCAGAGGCACATGGCCCCCAGGAGGAGCTGCAGGCACAGGGCCCCCAGGCGGGGCGGCAGGCACCGGGCCCCCAGGCGGAGCGACAGGCACCGGGCCCCCAGGCGGAGCGACAGGCACAGGGCCCCCAGGAGGAGCGGCAGGCACAGGGCCCCCAGGCAGGGCGGCGGGCGCCGGGTCCCCAGGCGGAGCGCCGGGCGCCGGGCCGCCAGGCGGAGCGGCGGGCACCGGGCCCCCGGGCGGAGAGCCGGGCCCCCGGGCAGAGCGACAGGCACAGGACCCCCAGGCGGGGCGGCAGGCACCGGGCCCCCAGGCGGAGCGGCAGGCACCGGGCCTCCGGGCGTAGCGGCGGGCGCCGGGCCCCCGGGCGGAGCGGCGGGCGCCGGGCCCCCAGGCGGAGCGACAGGCACAGGGTCCCCAGGCAGAGCGGCGGGCACCGGGTCATCAGGCACGACAGCAGGCATCAGGTCACCAGGCATCAGGTCATTTGGCTCGCCAGCGGGCACCGCGTCAACTGGCAAGGCAGTGGGCACCGAGTCACCAGGCACGACAGTGGGTTCCGAGTCAACTGGCATGACCGCGGGCACTGGGTCAGACATTGGATCGTCTGGCTCGACAGCGGGCATCGGGTCATCTAGCGCTGGATCGTCTGGCTCGACAGCAGTCACCGGGTCATCTGGCGCTGGATCGTCTGGCTCGACAGCGGGCATCGGGTCACCAGGCATGACAGCGGGCACTGGGTCATCAGGCATTGGATCGTCTGGCTCGACAGCGGGCATCGGGTCATCAGGTACCGGATCGTCTGGCTCGACAGCAGGCACCAGGTCATCTGGCGCTGGATCGTCTGGCTCGACAGCGGGCATCGGGTCACCAGGCATGACCGCGGGCACTGGGTCATCAGGCATTGGAACAGGAATGCAGGTAACAAGATACAGGGGCCCATAGAAAAACACACACCAAGGCACAGACTGCAGGTCTGGCCATCCCTTAAATACACCTCCGTAATCAGCTTCAGGTGTTTGGCTGACTACAGGGTTGAGTCTCTGATTGTTGAGAGCACCCGCTGGCCAGCCCTGGTACTGCAGCCCACAAGGCAGGTGAGTCCCACCATTACTGGCAAGTCCATTCCTGACAATATCATTATATTGGGAACTTAGAACTAGACATTCCCAATTATTTGAGATATAAGTGTGAAAATGTTTGACATTTGAAAATAGAATGTATGACATTCATTAGGAAATGCATTAGTTGTCTGATCATTTTGGAGAAACAGCAACCCAAAAAAAAAAATAAATATAGGTGTACTTTTTATTTTACATTATAAGTATTCTCATATGCAAACAGAAAAACGCCTACGGTTGTGCGCCGCCTAGCGAACATATACGGCATTGCATTTAGAAATGTGCCAGGCGTTAGGATTTACTAACAGGGAAAGAGTCTACAAAGTAGATGCTTTTCAAAGAGTTGGCTAGACACCTTTTTGAAGACTGACAGGCTTGATTGATTGAATTGAGTCTGCCAGAATGGTCAGCCTCTGCTGGTAGACTCAATTCTTAGTAAATCAGGGCCTATAAATCATAAAATTAACCTCCTCCTTTACTATATATTTTTCCATTCTTTCTTTCCCTAGGTTTTTCCCTACTTCTCCTATCTCCTCCCTTTATGCTGAGTGTCGCCCTTACCCCTTACCCCCCCCCCCCCCGCAAACCCACATCCCCAATTCCCTTTTCCCTCCCATTGCCCTCCCCATCCCTTAGGCTACCTTTTTTGCCTACAAATAATTTGTGGTCCTAATCCCACTTTTGATTCGACTTTAAGGTGGTGCTCCGACCATGTACGATTCACCAACCACCTATCCTCCTCCATGTCGTGCCACTCTCTATATCCAATAATAAGTCTCCAGCGACCTGTCTGAGTAGAAGGGTTGGAGGAAAAGAGAAAGGGGAGAGGGAGAAAAAAAAAACACCCCTCTCTCCTCTTCCTCCTCCCCTCCCCCTCTCCCACTCTCTTTCCTCTTCTCTACTCTCTTTCTCCTTCTAACTACCTGCCAATCCTCTTTTTCAATAGCCCATATCTCTCCTTCCTCTTCTTCCCACCCAACTATCTCCATTCTTTGCGAATCAAGTCTCTCACAAAAGTCTCTTATATCTTCAGGAAATCTCAATCTTGCTGTACACCCATTTTTCCATCTGATTAAACATGCCGGGAAGCCCCATCTGTATTGAACATTTTGCTTCCTCATCTGCTCTAATAATGGTTTCAAAGATCTCCTTCTTGTCAATGTCTCAGCTGCTAAATCTGCAAAAAGCTAGATATTTATTTCTCCACATTTAATAGCTTTTCTTCTTTTGATCTTCTTCCATATCTCTTCTTTATCCCCATAATTATAAAATTGCACAATTACATCTTTCGATTTTTCTTTACACCTTTTCTTGTTTGAGCTTTCCTATTCTATACAGTATACACCATCCAATTTAAGAGTCTCTGATGCAGATCTGCCCAATATAGTATTCAACATTTTACATATTATATCCATTAGGTCTTCTCTGTGTGAAATCTCTGGCACTCCTCGAATCCTTAGATTACATCTCCTATCCCTATTTTTTTTGATCCTCTATTTTATATAGTAGCTTTCTTTGTTCTTTTCTCATTTTTATCCGTTTTTTTTTTTTTTCCAACTTCAGAATAATTTTGGCGTGTTTATTCACTTTTCCCTCCGTCCCTTACACTCTTGATAGCATTTGCCCCAGGTCTTTCTGTATTATTGCCATCTCTTGTTTTATTGATTTTTCAAGACCTTTTTAAACATTTCGGCTTTTTTCTTTTTTATTTGGCGTTTTTTAAGGCCTTTTTTTGTTCTCCCACCTCCACTCTTTCTTTCATTTGTTGACTGCTATTAGCCATTCCCAGGGATAGTCTAGGACTATCTTCCATACTGATTTCCAGCCCACTCCTTTCACTTATTCCTTGTTGTCTTTCTGGGCTCAAATTCCCCTGTCGGGGTATATATTTTTTAATCATACCTGTTACGGAACCTTTGGGCCCACCTCCTTTGGCCACTTTATTTTTCATGCCTCAAATATTTAATTCACTTTCCAAGCTCTTGGGGGGGGGGGGGGTTATTTTATTGTCCCGTTTATCACTTTAAACTCCCCTCTGCCAGATTCTATTTCTTCTGGGACTTATGCTATATTTCTTTGTCTTCCTTTTCTTTTAGACCCCCTGGGTGATTCCCCCCTTTAATTTCTTGATAGAGTTCAGTTCATTCCATACAATGCAATAAGCCTTGCCGCTCTCACTCACCCTCCCGTCGTCTTCTCTCTTGTGTGGGGTGGCTTCAGGCTCTTCCTTCTGTGGGGTGTGATTCCCAACAGCCCCTCCACTTAGAATGCTGCTTTTCTTTGTTTAGGGGGAGATTCCCCCCGCTGGGTTCTGTACTTCTCTGGTCGTGCAAGTTCCGTGTGCTTGAGGGGAGATCCGGCGTCTCCCTCTGCCTGGAAACGCTGGCCGGATTCTCCTCCTCCCAGTGCTCCCTTGCGGCAGGTCACGTGGCCATCTCCGCGTCCTCTGGGCTCCAAGCAACCCACCGCTCTGGACGGGAATCACAGCCGTCCTGCTGCGGTGGATGTCAGACGCTCTGTCCACCTCTCCAGCCGTCCCGTCCCGTGGCCTCCGCACTCCACAACTCTCCCTGAGCCCCTACTCCTTCAGCGAGTCTCTTTAGAGTTTTGCGTGCATCTTTGGCAGCATTGGCAGGACACTTTGAGGTGCAGGCAGCTGACTAGCGGAGAGCTCTCACATTGAGCTCTCCCTCGCCGCCATGGTCAGGCTCCTCCCCCAAGCAGCATGTTTATGTTAAAAAAAATTTAAGGGCTTTAAACAATTTAGTTGACTAAATAACGGCATGATTGAATGCTTTGACAAAGGATTTTTCAGAAATGTGCAAAGCTATTTCTATTGCCGTAAGCCAGCTTTAGATGCTGCTTCTTTTTTTTTTATTTACTTGCAGGTACTCAATACTTGCATTCATATTTTGAAAGAGCAACTCTTTACACAAAAGGATATACTGTATATCCATTCCAAGGCATTGCATAATACACTTGTCAGCAAAATGCTTCTCTACATTATGTGTGGTACTTACAGTTGTGTTCAAAATAATAGCAGTCAGACATCACTAACCTGATCACTCACGGTTTTTGGTAGAAATGATATTTCTACATGGCAAATAATTTACTAGCAGGTGTAGTAGAGTAATAGAAATCCAACAGACCCAACAGTCATGACATGCATGCTGCTGATTCTGTGTAATTGAATCACTAATTTAAAGGGGCATGTTCAAAATAATAGCAGTGTGGAGTTCTATTTTGTGAGGTCATTCGTTCTTTGAAAAACAGGTGGAAATTATTGCCCTTATTTAAGGAAGGAAGGCAGCAAATGTTGTACATACTAGTTACAGTGCATTTCTCTCTGAAATTCTGAGGAAAATGGGTCATTCCAGACATTGTTCAGAAGAACAGCGTACCTTGATTAAAATGTTTATTGGAGAGGGGGAAAACATATGAAGAAGTGCAGAAAATGATAGGCTGCTCAGCTAAAATGATCGCAAATGCTTTAAAATGGCAACCAAAACCTGAAAGACGTGGCAGAAAGCAAAAAACTACCTTTCAAATGGATAGAAGAATAGCCAAAATAGCAAGGACACAGCCAACAATCAGCTCCAGGAATATCAAAGAAGGTCTAAAGTTACCTGTGAGTACTGTTACAATTAGACGCCTATGTGAAGCCAAGCTACAGTTGCAAGAAAAAGTATGTGAACCCCTTGGGATTACGTGGAGTTTTGCATGAATTGGGCATAAAATGTGCTCTGAACGTCATCTAAGTCACAACAATAGAAGAACACAGTCTGCTGAACATAATACTACACAAACATTAGATGTTGCCATGGTTTAATTGCACACAACATGTAAACATACACAGTGCAAGGAGGAAAAAGTATGTGAGGCCCTAGCTTAATGACTTCTCCCAGAGCTAATTGGAGCCAGGAGTGAGCCAACCTTGACTCCAATCAGTGTGATGATATTGGATGTGTTGCTGACAGCTGTCCTGCCCTTAAAAAACACACACCTGCTTTGGGTTTACTGGTATCAAGAAGCACTGTCTGATGTTAACCATGCCTCGCAGAAAAGAGCTCTCAGAAGTCCTACGATCAAGAATTGTTGACTTGCATGAAGCTGGAAAGGGTTACAAAAGTATCTCCTTGAGCCTTGATGTTCATGTGTCCACGGTAAGACAGACTGTCTACAAATGGAGAAAGTTTAGCACTGTTGCTACTCTCCCTAGGCATGGTCGTCCTGTACAAATGACTGCAAGAGCACAGCACAGAATGCTGCATGAAGTAAAGAAGAATCCCAGAGTGTCAGCTAAAGACCTACAGAAATCTTTGGCACATGCTAACATTTTTGTTGACACATCTACAATAAGGAAAAACATTAAACAAGAATGGAGTACATGGGAGGACACCACGGAGGGAAGCCATTGCTATCCAAAAAGAATATTGCAGCACGTTTGAAGTTTGCAAAAGAGCACCTGGATGTTCCACAGCACTACTGGCAAAATATACTGTGGACAGATGAAACCAAGATTGAGTTGTTTGGGAAGAACACACAACACTATGTGTGGAGAAAAAAAGGCACAGCACACCAACATCAAAACCTCATCCCCACTGTAACACATGGCGGAGGGAGCATCATGGTTTGGGGCTGCTTTGCTGCCTCAGGGCCTGGACGGATTGTTGTCATTGATGGGAAAATGAATTCCAGAGTTTATGAAGACAGGAAAACGTACGACCATCTGTCCGCCAAATGAAGCTCCGCAGAGGATGGGTGATGCAACAGGACAATGATCCAAAGCATACAAGTAATTCAACAAAACAATGGCTGCAACAGCACAGAATACACCTTCTGGAGTGGCCCAGTCAGAGTCCTGACCTCAACCCGATTGAAATGCTGTGGCATGACCTTAAGAGAGCGATTCACACCAG